GTCAGTAGGAAGTTTACGCAAAAGTTTTGGGAAGGAGGTGGAGCAGAATAGCTGACTCCAAGATCCAAAAGAGTAGTATCGCTTTCACTCAGACCGAAATCTTCCTCCTACACCATAATGATGAGAAATTTTGAGTTCGCTCATCCGATTCAAATGCACTTAAGCCTGGAAAACCTGCATATTACCAGATCTCCCAAAAGAAGTTAAGGGCGTGTCTGCGAACCTATGGGATCGACGGCCAGTGGCCAGTGGCTATAAACCACCCAGTCACTATAATATGATAATAGGAGCTGGAGTCAGAGCAAATGGCATTAAATCGAGGCCTTTCAGCGTTGCCACTGCTCTCCGTCAAAGTTGAGTTCGGTTTGCTTTGTGTTTGTGTTGTACATGTATAGGACAGTCAGGCGCAGCCAAGGCGACGAGTGTATCAGCGTACTAGATGTGAAAACGAGAAGGTTGCAATTTGCAAATGACTCTGCTCTGTTGCAATCATTTGAAACTAATTTTCAAGGCGTATCGAAGAGGTTCGTAGCCGAAAACAACATAGCTGGCATGAGTGTGAACATGTATAACACCGAAGGTCTAACAATTTTTCGATCCCTATCCACTGAGCTCTGCAGGTTCACGAAGGAGTAGCGAAATAGAAAAATAAATAAATTCAGGTACCTCGAGATCCTGTTTAATAGTAATGGAGAATGGAAGGGGCAGGTCGACCGACAAATCGGGATTTCCAACGGATATAATGGCGAAATTTGTGAACTCGTTGTGATTAAAACAGAGTTAAATCATAAGGAAAAGCTCTGTTGATTTTGATTCCCAAGTCACCTGTGGTCATGGAATATGACTGAAAATACGTGGTACGGGTACATGAAAATGCTTCCTGAGACGAATATCTGGGCTAATTTGCCTGGACAGTTCCTAGAATTCACAGATAGGACAAAACAATGGTGCTCGGCCGCAGTTTCCGACACTGAGAAGTCACATCTGCGTTGGTTTCCGCAGGTTCTGAGACTGCTTTCAGAAAAACAAAACTGGCAGCACATGCTCGACCAACCAGCAGAAGATCGCAGAAAAAGACAAGAATGATCTAGGTCAAATATTTCGTGGGCTTTGCTTCCAAGACGGTCATCTACTGTCAAAATTTTAGTTCTAGTGCAGGATCATGAACGCCTGAGTCACCATGTAGTCTTGCTGCCTCAGAGACACAAAAGGATGGTCGGTCGTCAACATTACGGAACTGAAACGAAAGGCTGTTGGAAGACTAAAACGTAGTTCAAGATATCCTGTTAGATATCTTACTGACCAGAGTAAGTAAACATGGCGAAGCGGGTAACACGGGTAGCGGGCTCTAAATCTGACTGTTTCAATGTGCAACACCTTAACGCGCGGAAGTCAAAAGTTATTATGAACAGTAGAACTGGGACATGAAGAGCTTCAGTAGGTTGACTACATTTAAGTAGCTGAGCTGCATGATCTTTAACGAAGGCACCATCAAATCAGAGTTAAGTATGAAGATTGCCCTTTAACAGATTTTAATAACTTGTCCAATGTTTTGAGAAAGAACTAGATGCGTAAAAATTTGTCGGTACCTACTCTTGATAACATGAGCATTCGAATGAAACAAATAGCTGTAACAAAGCTGTACACAGCAAAACTGCGGTGTTCTCGAAAAAAAATTATTCTATTCTGTGTCAGTGTCCAGTTTAACGGCGTAAATGTGGAAAATAAGAAATAAGAAGTTGGCAATTTTAGCAAAACTGGAAGATAGAAACAAACTGTTGCAGCCTTTGAACCTCTCGTGTGGATGAAATACGTTTCGCATTTCCAGATAGAAGCAATGCAACATGGATGAACAAATTTATGATAAACCTGCTTTCAGAGAGAATTTGTTTCTTCTACAATGCCTTAAACAGCGTTTTATAATAAAATGATTGAAAGGTTGAGATTACACCGCATATCACAGTCTAAAGACATTCCGTTCATATATACGATTCAAGGTGATGACTTCACAACAAACACAGAACATACATTCATTGTCGTACTGCCTTCCATATATTACTTAAGACGTTCTGAACTCCGGGGCTCAGCCTCCAGACTTAATTTAACGTCACTATTTTATCTGAGTTGTCATTCATGTCCTCAGTTGATTGCCGAAATCCTAAAAAAAAACTATTTTTTCATGGCCAATAAATAATTCCGAATTTGTTGCTAGATACCTTTTATAAGATCAAATTTGGGCGCATACGCTGCTGTATACTAAGTATTCCACAACTTCTCCAGAAAAAATTTACAACGCCTTGGTACTTGCTGCCTGAAGACCATTTAAGCAGGACGAGGCTCAATCCCATCATAAGATCCGTACTGCTAGGTACATATTTTTAACCAGCCACAACTGGAATTCCACAATGGCGCAAAAGTTTTCTTATTAAATGCTAAATCCTTGGATCAATGAATTCTCCATGGTATACTTCTTTGCAACCAGCCAAAAATAAAGTAGCGACATCCTGATCTACGACTAATAACAAGAACACGATTCACTAGCATTGTCACGCCAGGACGGGATAGACATTCAATAATGCCGTATGACGAGTATGCAATGGGCCATTCATGCTATGTAATTCATCTCATGGGCAACAAAAAATCAGCATTACGCGTTCGAAAAATAAAATTCAAACAAATAAATCAGATGGATCGTACTGACTGATTCAATGTTAAAAAGTGTTGAGATCATCATTCTTTACCGTTTGCATCAACAGAACGATAGGTTTATGATTTACGCAGCATTCGCAAAATTTTTGCTACAAGGCACCGGCTAAAAAATAAATCCACCCTGAAAAAAGATCTGCCGCCACGTTGTTCCACCATATTCCATATCTGCTTCCTAGTCGACGTCTGTTCGCATGAGGGGTTCGCGGCATCGAGTAAAGGGTCTACGGCTAAAAGATCAACAGTTTCTAAATTTCCACATCTACTGAGGTCACCTGTGACCAGAAGAAAATAGAGTCATTCCTGCTACTTAAACCTCCTGTTGTGTCGAATCCAACACTGCTATATGCACTGCAACCGTTAAAACAACCGCATTTATGCCATACAACACTGACTCGATCGAAGCAAAGTATAAGCAGGTGTGAGTTCGGAAAAGAATACTCCTTTGTAAGCAAAAATATTGGACAAGCGACCAAATGCACCGGAGGAGAATGCAACGGTGCTATACAGAGATAGGTGAAAAACTGAGTATGGGAGTAAAACTGACTGTACTTGAGCATAATCAGATTATACTAAAAACAGCTTTCGCACCTGATTATCCAGCGGCCAAACGGAGCATACCAACGAGATGCAAGCAGCGCAAGCTAGATCTGTCTGAAATGATCGCAATTAGGACAGACAAATTAAAAGTGAAACATACCCTTCTTATGCATAACAATGTAATCATTATATGTTGCCAAAAAACAATGAAATATGGTTCATGTCAAAGATTATTATGCGGAAGGTCCAGAATACTACTAATGAAAAGCTACAAACTACAATGACGATTTTCTGCCTTATTAATGCGATACCTATGTGTTACAAAAAAACGTAACTTAGTCGGTAGGACGCCGGATTCGCAGTCGAAATGTTATCAGTTCGAATCTGGCCGAATCGCTCGCTTTTCGTTTATCCTGGATAAATTAGCACTACTTCACGTTGAGAAAGCAAGCATTAGCATCAATTCGACGCCATGGTGAAAAAAATGAAACAATAGAGTCTTTCGATAGTTCATAGAGTGAAGCTCATATGCTGATGAGAATTAAATACACTAACCAATTCAGAGAACATTTCGAACATCTGGCCAATGGCATCTCAGTGTTTTTGGTACAACTAAGCAATGCGTTTAAATACATCTACAGCATTGATGTACGTGTAACCAATATCAAAACGATCAGAAACTTTATACTGCCTTGTTCTGTGAACTTGAAGAAAGTAAGACGCGACAAAAGCAAAAATAATCCTGTAGCGCTGACTAAGCATTACACTGAAATTAACCGATCTCACACTTACCTTGTTGAACTTGAAAAAAGACTGCACTTGTTGAGACTCAGGTCCGTAATTGAAAAGAATTTGACGAAGAAAGTCGATGCATCGCATTTTCTCAAATTTTTGAATCCCCTAGAAAAATGGACGACTGTAAACATTTTAAAACAAACTGCTGCTCACAGTGTGTCGCTCGTAAAAACACGACTTTTGCTCTCGCCACTTAACCATAACTGCATTAACTTAACGCAGAAGGCATAAAAGATATTAAGAAATCTGACTGTGTATTTTACTGAAAGCGGCATGCTCAATGTTAAGATGATGCATTACGACGTTATGATTCCTTAATCTCTCAAACGACATTTGTGTCATCAATGAACCAGGGGGTGACTTCACTGACTCATCAGATATCACACAGTTACGACATTTTAGAGATTCTGGCACTATACGCAACTACTTTCTGCCACGTATCTTGTCAGAAATGGAGCGGGTCAATCCTTGTGCCAGGCTTGGCTTGAAATTTTTCAATAAGCACGTCCCAGTTCCGACCCTGATACCATCCATGAATGCTTCCACCTTTTATTTGGATGCGGCAATACGAACCATAATAATGATCCATCGCTGACTGTTTCGTTGTGGTGTAAAACGGACGAGTGAAAATTGTAGTTTGTTGTTTTATCAGAGGGACATTTTATAATAATCACTGTTCAACAAATTCCTTGACAGCCTTTTTTACATCCTTGTGTAATTTAATGATATGGCTTTGAGCTACATTTTAGCCGCGTATTCCGCATTAATAGAAGAGTACAGAAACAAGCGGGGATACATTTTTCCTTTTGTTAAGGGTGCTGCGCCATACGTCAGAACTGGCTAAATTAGTCATATAGGCAACAAATTTATTTGATGTTCTGAAAACGGCTTTCCACACATTTTGTGGATGCTCCGGTCTCCTTGATTATTTTTTTACATCAGCTTTCTTCTTTCTACTTCACACCTTCGTTCGCTGGTGATCATCGATCCAAGACAGCAACGTTTGTTCACGTACTGCACATATTCTTCGTAATTGTTCATGCTGTTGACATCGTATGGGGTATACCGTGAAGGATGAAGTTTGAACTTCTATGGCATAAGTCTCACCCTGTACTTGGTGCTTGCCATTTTCACAGCTTTCAATGCATTCAGAAGTTCCTGCGGCTGGGTTGCAGAAGCAATAATGTTAGCATAATCTAGGCCTTGTAACCGACGTCCTATTGGATGAAAAATTAGATCACTACAAAAGATCATAACCTTCTCCATCACCATCACATCGATACAGCAAATGAAGATCTAATATATATTCGCTGACCGGTCCCCGTTGTACTCTGCTATCAATCACCAAGCTGTCTGAGAATAATTCATGCGTTCGTATCAATGCTGTTGTTTTAGTATATTTTTCAAGACGTTAAAACTTTCTCTATCGCTATTACCTCCCAACAGCAGACATATGGTACTATGGCTGCGGGAAAACCGAAAACCCGTGGTACCGATCGCTGTTTCCAGCAAAGACGAAATATTAGGATCTGTTGAGTTGCGCATTGGCCTTGTAGAAATTCGCCTAGTTCTTCAGTAAGAAATGGAAGATCTGAATTAAAGAGGTAGTCCATTGAAATATTAAAGATGTGAAAGTACAAAACACTATAAGCAATCTTTGAGATGGAAATTCTTTAAAGGAATTTACAAAAGCACAAATTAGGATAATCTGTTATGCGGCGAAAAGGAACCATGTTTGTTCTGAGGAAGCAGCACTAGATGCTGCATTCAGAACAGTTAAACAAAATTCTCTAAACTTTAGGAATAGCATCACGAGATGAAAAAACCTTAATCACTTATGATATTGCGACCGCATAAGTTGTAATATATTACAAGAAATGTTGCATCGCCATCTGTTTTTCTGTAAAGAGGACGGTACCGTGCAACCGGGATAAAATAGGAGGACAGTTCATAGTTCGACACCAAAGCAAAAATCACCCTGTACTAACAAGCTTTCGATAACTCCTACTATGGTTGGTTTATGCATGAAAGACAGAGGTAGAACAGCAGTAGTCTGTTAATGCCAGGTATTACAAAGCTGGCAAGTTATATATAGTTCGTTTCAAATAATGAAATAAAATTTAAGTAGAATTTCATGATATAAAAAACGTCTTCTAACTTCTTGGAATTCAAAAACTACTATGAAGGTTCTAACCGAATTGGCTAGCGGAGGTCAGTCAAGTAGGAAAACGCGCTTCTTGGTATGAAGATTTCGCTTGTTCTTCACAGTCTTAGTCTAATCGGAATGAGCAATATTCTAACAGAGATTCCTATCTCATAATCTGTAAATTCCACCTTTGTAAACTTCAGTCGCAAGATGGAATGAGCAACAGCAAACAGAAACATTACAAAGGGCTAGAGAAAGAGATATGCTGAAACAACTCTTTCTAGAAAACGCTCATGCAAAAAGAATTCTTAAACATCGTTTCCCAAAATTTAGTTAATCACAATAAGGCAGATTAAGAAATCGATTCCTTTTACCTTATCATCCTTCAATTTTGTTTTATATAGGAATGTTTAAAAAACATTTGGAGGTAACGTCCAACAACAGAGAAAACTATTAGCACTCTGTATAAGAAACCGATAAATTCGACCAGAATTAACAAGTTGGGGAATTCATACACACGTTACTCAGCCTGAGCCGGAAATGAATCGTATTCGGTACTCCTATGCCATTCATTAGAACACATTCACCAAATACAACTCGGCAATCAAAAGATATAAACACAACTCAAAACGCAGCTAATCTCAAAACTGCGGAAACAACACATTAAATTGTCCAATATTTCGCGCTGAAACATGTAGATGAGTTATGATAATTCCGCTGATAGTTGGCTACCAGTCTTCAAATTCACATACTAAGAGTAAGTTATACTGGTAAATAATTATTTAGCATGCTACTTGCTGATGCATTCATTTCCTTAGATTGTATGCTTTTGCTAAACTTGTTTGATCTGTCAAAAACAAACGTAGATTAGTTGAAACACTGTCGATTAGTATGTTAAAAACCATCAATGTTGACAGTAATGGGGAGATTAAATTTACATTACATCCACGGCTGAACAATTTCCGAAAATGTGCGAATTCCATCGAAGAGAACAATGGCGGGTATCAGAGATGCGTTTTTTAATTACTGCCTCACCTACGATTGAAGACGTGGGTCTGAAAACTAGTCAAAAATAAAATGTTCTGATTAAATGTCAGTTCTGTAGAACAAACGTGGAAATAGCCCACAAACAGACATTGGGTCACTGACCAGCGCACAACTGGGATCGCGTGATTGTGGCAATTGTAGCACTTTCGGATGTTTGATATGGTCGAATTCAAGGACTACAACTCAACTGGACACCTTATATCATACTCTACCGTCTGGAAAAAGAGAAATCAGCAAAAATTAACTTATTTTCCCCAAACCAATGAATTGGTACCTGAGCAGTGATGATCACATATTCGTTTCTGAACTCGAGCGCTTGCGTGTTCATCGAATTTCTCGGCGGCACTCGTGCCAGATCCCATGTTCTGCCGCACAAAGGAATTTCAATCTAAAAGCATCCGTTCAATAGTCTAAGTACTACTATTCAACAATCCAACGCACCACGTTTTCGATCATTTTTGACTGCGTACCAAAACAGTCACTGCTGTAGATCGTTAAAAGGTCGTTTGTTCCATCAGACATCTGGACAAGTACGGTGGTTCCTAAATGATCGCAGATACTGATGACTGAATACTCATGTCTCACGAAGGGCAAGATTCGCCTAACGTAGCAGCTTCGAAAACGCAACAACTAACACTGTTCACGGAGAAAAGATATGGAATGAAGATAAAATTATGTACGGTCATCACAATCAATCAAAGCTATAACACGCGCATTAGTGGCTGGACTGACATATATATGATCTGAAATAAAATATCTATTATTTACATCAGTTTAATTCGGCCATTAGGATTTCTATTTTTAGCAGGTAAAGCAGATAATGAATAACGATTTCGCTTGTCGATCAAATAAATGCGACGAATCCGTAAATACAATGAATCGCTAAAATAACTGAATAATGGCCTGTTTACACTGTCTGATATGCCACTAGGAGCAAGGGACCATTCTAACAGCTCGCCGTAAACTGATCGAATGTCATGTGCATGTACCACACAACTATATATGTATAGCAGATACAAGTATGGATGGGAAACATAACTCTAACAAAATTATGTGCAATTATGCCCATATATTAAGAACATAAGCAATTTTCGATGATGCTGATACTACAAAGCAAAACCATGCAGTTATATGCAAATGACCATATAATTTGTATTCTACATTATACATTGAATTGCTGACCTGTTGCAGTCAAAGAACTTAGATTGGAAGAAGTGTAAAACTAAGTCCAACTGAGAGAGTTCATCTAAGCAACGGAGAAAAACAATATAAAGTTAACAAAAAAATGAAGAACACACGGAGCAATTTTGGAAGACTGAAAATGTTCTTATCTGGGAAACTGCCCTTGAGATTTCCATTAGTGCGTGTGTGCAGTGCTATGGGTACACAATGCATGTCTAATCTGAAAGATATATGCTTCGAATAACAAGAAAAGATCGAATGATTAGGAACACAAACAAAAGTCTGTGATTCATTTCCCAAATGATAAAGTTAAATTGACAATGGGCAGAACGCGTTCCAAGAAGAACCGACTATCGATGGACGACAAAGGCACTAGAATGGGTTCCAAGAGAGAGTAAACCGCCCGACAGAACACACATTCAGACAGATGGCAGGATGAGCTGCAGAAATTCGCTGGATCAAATTGGATGAAAACAGAAGAAAACAACAGGCTATGGCAAAGTCATGAAGGCCTTCGTTCAGCAGTGGATAGCCAAAAAACTTATTATGGGAAATACGTACAGATACACTACATCAATCCATCCACGTTCAGCGCCGGCTATATCTTTACCGCTGGGAGAAACTATAGCGGGATGTGTTCTCCATCCTCCTGCTCCTACGTCAGACGAACAATCAACATGGCCAGAATTCGGAGGCGCGACAAGGACAAGTGATCAACACGATCCATTCACGTGGTTCTCGATCAAAAGGCCTCTACATCGCCCTTGCAAATGGAATTTGCTATGCACATTCGCGTTTTAATTCTGCAGCATCCCGATTACATATTAAAACAATAGAAGTCGCGATCGCCTACTTTGGAGGGTGAGTCGGGATACCTCTAACAGCAGTAATCTGAAATTTTCTCGACTTTCGTCGCACTAACAATACTTCAAAGGAACTTCATTACTACCGCTCATATTAGGGATTACACCTTTTCAGTAAAAATCCAGCACTCCTAACCATAGGTAACATCAAGTGCACAGACAGACATGAAAGAAGAAAGTAGCGCTACTGTTGGCCTCGTTCTTTATCATTAATAGAAAAATTTGACTCACGCGTCATTTTCCTTGCTTGTCCAAAATTCATATTTCTGTCCTGTAGACCGTCACTTGTGAATGCTAAACCGATTTCGCCTTCTCCATCAGAACTAACTACAGCATAATATTCTACAGCGCACATTGTGGGTATTTCGAACAACATATCAGTTCCTGTCTTGGCCATTAATGTGATAAAGTCAACTGTGATACAACATCAGGACTGTGCACAGATGCTATCAATGTTTTCGCATCGGTAACAAGAATAACACGAAACAGGAAGATATAACAAGATAACAAGGAAATGGGTAAGACTACAAACACAAGCCTGCGATGTCACTGCATGAGCAAAGACTATATACGTGAATAAATAGAAGGAAAAGAATACATTATAAATTCATACATTGGAAATCTTAGGTAAAACGCGTTTAAACGTTACCTTCGCTGAAGTGGCACATGTGAACATTGCTTGGCCTAGGAAGTCTGCTGTTTGCACTGAAACCCGGCGGCAGGCGTAAGTGCACAAGGCGAAGAGTGACTGGTCGAATAACTGAACCGGGTGGCGGGAAGTAGTCCTCGTAAACGCATGAAAAATACATTCTGATGCCTAGATTGAAATTAGCCAATTAACACTTTCGTCTATTCATACACAGGAAGAATTACATACCACTCTGAGTAACAGCCAGTAAATTCAGAATTAGCGAATCAGACTTTAATATAGGACAAATGGCGACGATTGGTGAAAAGCTGTTGCAATCAATATTACTATAAAACATTCCGCCACGATTATACAACGAACAACAGAAACAGTTACTAACGGTTCAAAACTTGCCGCGACAGCAACGATATCTTTCGAGGTCATTGCAGCCACTTGCTGCAGCTTCAGTCCGTCTGATCCGAGGTCATACACCTGAATCGATCCTGGTTCAGATCTGGTGTACAGAATATGACGACTTTCGT